GTTATATCCCCTGATAGAAGTCTGAAATTAATTTTTGAAATATTAATTTTTTTTACGTGATTTTATTTATTGCCTATTTTTTACTATTTAATATTACCTGCAAACATGGCATTGCTGTGAATTATTAAACATCGTAATCGGAGCAGTAGAAAATACCAGTTTGGGTAAATATTTTTTTCAAAATCTGACTCACACAGGATTAATTTATCGATCAGGTTGAACAAATAATTTAGTATTTCGAAATCTACTTCATGTTTCACACGTAAATGGAAATGAAAGCTGTGAATGAAAATGAAATGGGAATAACTCAATGATAAATGCAACTTTTCTTTTGATAATCTATAATGCTTTTACGTTGAGTTTGGATTACGCTGTAAAGGCTCGGTAAGAAAGGTTTATTGAATTGTGTCATGGAGGAATAAGGGCTAACGCGCTGCATCCAATTTGAGCCGTTTAATTAATTCCCTTCAATTCGTCCGGGTCGGTCAATAAAGAGAGCGGTCGTGCAATTAACGTAGCACGACGCGGGCTACAATATTGGCCCTAATGAAATCTTTATTAATCTCGTCTTCTTCCAAAATTCCCGCGGCGTTCGTCCGTCAATTGATTTAAAAGTTGCTGCCGTGTTTCCGACAATCGGTACAGTAGAGTCGATAAAATCTTGAATAAGTTTTAGCGCGATTACGAAAGCATCCAACGATAATGGCTACTAAAGATTATTCGTTAATCGTAATACTTCGTAACGGAAACGTCGTGAACTCAGCCGGGCTTAATTGTGGAACTATTTGTCTTTGGCGTTAATTGCGATTCGTGTCATTTGCGCAACTGACATTATTGTCATCGCGTGCCAAATTATTGGCGGATGACGTCAGCGTTGCGGCGCTTTTGTTCCTTGACAACGCCAATTATCTTATTAACCACGCAACAATTAGCGCCCCGGATTTTAAACATGGCCATTACCTAGCGAAAGTTACTTATAGTTTTTTAATTTTGAAAATATCGGTAAAACTTTAAGCTGACATACAACAGTTTGAACCATGCAATTGCATTTTAAATGTTCGTTATTGCAAAAAAAATTTCACGAGACCGACATTTTCAAACCAGAAGTCCTTCATATTTTAAAAAATTACTACATGCTCATAATTTTGTATATAAACTTCAGCCAAATGAATGAACACATTCGACACTAAATTTTTTAATATTTGCGCATGTACAGTTTTAAAATCGGAAGTTTCAAAATATTCCTGTCCTTTCTACGAAATCTAGTGTATCATGTAAATTTCGAATGAATACGTTGCCTTTGGTTTATTAACGAGCGATATCGGCTGTTTGAAAATATAATAATATTAATAATAAATGTTAAAAACAAAAAGGTAACTCTGACATGAACTTTTCGATAGCCATGCATACATTTTCAAGGTAGTTCGAGTCAAAGAAACGTTATCATTTTGATTTAAATTATCAAAATTAGGCTAAAATTTGTTCTGCTCGTACATGGTATCAAATACAATTAACATTACATATAACATAATTACATTATCGAATACAGCGTAAGTATGTACCAAATATATGATATATTATTTGATTTTGTACCCTTATTTAGTTTACTTATTTTTCAAAACAGTACTTCCATCATTAAGCGATATAAAATTTCTGTAAAATAATTGTTAAATTTTAATAGAAAAGTCCCAAGAGGATCTCAATCATTGATAGGTCTAGAGCCATACGTTTTTTTTAAAATGAGTATATGAATTTGATTAAACAATCCTACAAGGTAAACGCTCGTCTATTCAGCGTGTGGTGCAGAGTAAAGAAACGGAGAGTCTTTCTGTGGCAATCGGATAATCGCGCAATAAAACACTGACATGATGTTCCGCCTGGGTGGTTGAACACCGCAAACATAGAGGGTGCACACTTCAGATATTTTATACGTGTATTCTTATGCACTTAGGCAGCAGGGGTCCCAACATCCCCGACGCCCCCGGATTTCGCCCTTGGGCGGGGGGGGCCCAAACCGGCTCCCTTTACATACTTTTGACCGTATGCGGATTAGCTTCGCTACATTTTGCCCCTTCTGTCGACGCGTATGTTCGATACTTTTATCCAGGATGAATGAACTGGCTCGTTTGCGGTCACGAACAACCCTCACAGCTATTTGCGCTTTTACAACTCAGTCTCTCCATTCATAAAGAATTATTTCCAAAAGTTTCTAAAAATTTTGTAGCCATTTAAAAAAAATGCACCTCTTCAGAACACAGTAGGATGTTACACAATTTTTCCGAGGTTACAAATCACACAACCTTTTATTAATTAGGACATAAATCGCTGTCACGAATAATACAATGTGCATTGCATATATTATACTTTAACCGTATATAAAGTAAATTGTGTATTTACTCTGAAACAAGATTCAGGAGCGAACGAAAACAATATACAGCTTAATTTAAAGTCAATTTAAACGATTGAAAAAATAGGAGTGTTATTTTTCATAAATCGACAGATTCTTACAGCCCTTTATCGTACTGGCAACGTCACGTCACCCGAGTGCTGGGCGATGGAAGTTCTTCATCCGTCCCTAGATAAAAGTATAGGAACCGTTGATAACGTCAAGCAGAAAGAGAGACAGGTGAGTGGCAAGATCGCTGGTAGGTTAGGTTAGATGAGGTTGGAACTTCGTTAAGTTTGGCAGCAATTACTTTTGATATCCGACACGCGGGCAGTAATTAGGTTGGTCGCGAAGGGTAGGGGCAATAATTCGCTAATATCAATTTCAAATTTCAATTAGTATCATCTCGACGGCCGTCTCTCTCTCTCTCTCTCTCTCTCTCTCTCTCTCTCTGCTCTCCCCGGGCAGCCTCACCCGGGAGCACGCCATGATCTAAAATTCAATTTGTCCCTCGTACCGGGCGCTGCAGAGAGTAAGAGAGGGGAAGAGAGGGGGGAGACATATACATATATACAGGAGGGAGAGACCACAGGGAGCAGCGGGGAGGGACTCCCCCTGTCCTCCTGACATCGAGAGATGAACTTGAGAGAGAGAGAGAGAGAGAGAGAAAGCCAGCGATACCTGTGGAAAGACAATGACGGAGACAGAGGCGCAAGATGTTAAGGGAGAAGGGCTAGAAGGAGGAAGAGAAAGAAGGAGGACGCAGAGGAGCCAGAACTGCGAGAAAGAGAGGGTGTGATGGAACGAGAGGAAAATAGAGCAGGCGACGAAGTGAGGGGATTGTAAAGGCAGATGGGTATACGGGATACGTTCGGCGGTGTAGAGAGAGAAGGAATGTGTGGGGGTCGAAGGGAACGAGGGTATCGGGAAACGTGGGAGGGAAATACTGCGCGTGTACGTGCGAGAAGCGGAGAAGAGGAGAGGATTGGCTGTAAAGCAAGCCGCGTGCATGCTGTTATATGACGTTGCGCGTATACATGCGCGCCCCGGCATGCCCCATTATAAATTGATAACCCGCCGTTTATTAAGTTCCATAACTGATGCCTACTTAGGCAAAGAGCCCCGATATACATTATTTATTTACGTGAGTTTATAATCCCCTAATGGGGATCGGCATAATCGTCCGAGGCTACCTTCCCACTAGCACTACTGCTTAATCACGTTTCGCTCTCCTGCAAATCCCCGCGTCACTCCTCCGCGCTCGAACCCACATCCACTTCAACTCGTCTTTTATCTTCTTTGTGTCCCGCACAGTCTCGGCAAATATTTTCTTTAGACTACTTCCTCAGTTTCTTACTTGTCTACACTTCCTCTCTCGCTTCTTTTTCCCCTTTGCGCGTTTCCTCGTCATTCGTCGCTCGGATGGTAGGCGTCTTGTAACCCGCGCGTTTGTTGCTCCCCGTGCAGAGAGTGGGGCTGGAATACGGTCAATCGAAGGCGAAGACAATCTTCATGGGATTGCATCAATTTAGTTTGGCTTCTTATACCCTTTGATGAAATTTTTTTTTTTTTTTTAAGACTAAGGTCGAATTGTGGTTGTAGATGGTTATTATGTTTTTAGTGTTCTAGGGTTTAGAACGGTTTACTTGGATGTTTCAAAGCTAAACTTTATGCATATGAGACTAGGTTTTTCTTTTTATCCACTTTTAATTTTTATCATTTATTACTTTTGTTTAGGTATCATTACTTTTTTTTTCTTTCGGATTTTTTTCTTACTCTATGAAACCTTTCGGCTGCTTTTCGGTATTCATGGTTGTTCTTATTCAATGGTACTTGATACGTAATACGTGGCAATAGTTGATTTTCTACTGTTTTTGGTTTAACCGAGTATCGTTAAATTCGTCGTTACAGGTAAGAATACTAAAACAGTACATGTGTAATTAGTACAGATGTACATCCACTGATAATATTGATCATCGATTAACTAAGATATGGCGTTAAGTTATTTTTGTTTTTCTGTATTTTTTTTTATAAAAAGTTTAAAGTCTTCTTACATAAAAATACATTTCTACATAGGTATTTACAACAATGTTCATTATTGCCTTGATTCTTTGTTAAATAGCGAACTTTTTTCGAAATTTATATATGACAAGTTGATAACCTTGATGTTCCGAATGAATTCAAGTATTACAACACTAATATGATCTTCCAGATTGGCTCGGTTCATGCTCACCAGGCCCACAGCCACCAACACCATCACCCGCATCATCATCAACACCAACAACAACAACAGCAACAGAGTTCGGTCCAGTCGCAGCAGATTCAGGTGTCAGGCGGGGGCGGCGGAGGCAGCGGAGGAGGAAGTGCCGGCTCCACCGGGGGTGCTGGGGGCGGAAGTGCGGCAACC